CTCATTCTTCAAAAGAATGGGTGCCAAACAAGCCCTATTAAAATCAAAATTTAATTTAAGTGAAAGTCAAACAATTAATATTAACCACATATTTCATTGATCCTACAACTTTTTAACCACGCATTTCATCAATATTTATCAAAATTTGCTAAAAATTTAATTTTAATCTCCGTCAAACCATCCCTTCAATATTTTAAATTAACAAATTAGTTCATGATCATCTAACATCATCTAACATCCTTTATCACAGGGGCAGATTCTCGTTACATCACCGCTCCTACTCAAATGCATATTATTGGCCAATAATCGTCACTAAAACCAACAATTGGTTCGTGTATTACACACTATGACAGCGCGCGTAGAATATTTTCTAATCAAAAATCATATAAATACTGTATTGAAGAACGAACAAGAAATGACTACAATTCCAAAGCTCAAAAAACGAAGTGTCTGTTCTGTTGGTGGGACTGAAAGGGTTTGTGTGTTTGTGGAATTATTAATTGTTTTCCACTTTTTTGGGATTATTTGGTTTGGGAATTTGGGGTTAGGGTTTGATCGATTGATTTTCAGAAATTTTGAGGGGATAAGAATGGCGCAAGCAGTGGAAGAATGGTATAAGCAGATGCCAATCATCACCCGCACGTACCTCACCGCTGCCATTGTTACAACAATCGGTTGCTCACTCGAGGTAAATTATTTCGTTCTCTCTCTGTACACACGCATGAATATACGTTAATATAGTAGTTAAAATCATAGTGTAAGTTTAATTTCAGGATGAATGATTAGTCCGAATAAATCTTCGCATGGGTTGATTCTGTGAAAAGTTGATTTTGATTTATATATCTTGTTCTGGGTAGGGAGGTGGGATTAACTTGGATGTTTTTTTTTTCTTTTCAAGATGAGTAGCCAATTTATGCTCTTTTTGAGTTTTCACTATTTTTTATGTTCTTGCAGATTGTATCACCATATGACTTGTACTTGAATCCGATCCTCGTAGTAAAGCATTACCAAGTCTGGCGGATTGTTACCAATTTCTTGTATTTTCGCAAAATGGGTAATTATTTTCTTAAAGAAAATTTATTTCTATTTTATATGTTTGGTGAATGATAAATGGCACACTCAAGGGTTCCTTAAGAAAATATGGAAAGAGCTTATTGAATTGTATACGTTCTGAAGATAATACAACCTTTGTTCGATTATTGTTATGAAGGTTGATGTAGAGCATATTTGTACGCACAATTTTATGCATATTGCTGTGCAGTAGTATATTTTACTATGGTAGGTAGTTCAGGAGGTTCTTTGGTTAAGCATGTATACACAGAACGTGAATACAGAATGTCAATGAAGCTGATTAGTGCTTGTTTCCTTTAGGAGTTCAGAATCTTGTTCGATCTGTTGACTGAGTTGATTTCACTAGATTTCACCATATAGATTGAACAACATTTAGTTGGTTAGGCAGTAACTTTAATACTTTTCAGTAGCAAGGGTTTTTTCCTTACTGATCTCGTTAGGTTTCATATCTCTTTCCACTTCGGTGCACTGCTAGATTATATTATATCGAATAAAAAGAGGAACATTCTTAGGTGCAGATTGTGGGCTAATTTGGGAACAAATGGAATTGGTTTTTGTTGTTTATCCGCACACCTTTATGCACGTGATTGAGGTAATTCCACTTAATTGACGTGTGTTAGTTTCTTAAAATTCTTGAAATATGCACTACATACTATCTCATAGCTAATTCAGGAATTTATGCCTGCGTTTCATGGAGAGTACGTTGACAACTTTATTTATTTAAGAAATTTCCAAACTAGGTTACTGTTATGAAATTTTACTGGTTGACAATAAAAGTATAGTATCTAATAGGATGATACTGGTGAAATTATCCTTCACTTCTATCCTGATGTATGTATTCTTGTATTTTGCAGACCTGGACTTTTTGTTCCACATGTTCTTCCTTGCTAGATACTGCAAGCTTCTTGAAGAGAACTCCTTCCGGGGTAGGACAGCAGATTTCTTCTACATGATCTTATTTGGCGCCTCTGTTTTGACTGGCACTGTTCTTTTCGGGGGGATGATTCCTTACGTTTCAGAGTCATTTGCAAGGATTATATTCCTTAGCAATTCACTCACATTCATGATGGTTAGTTTGCCTGAAAGAGCAGAACTCAGCTCGTAATTAACAATTTAACCGAAGAATGTCGTACTTTTTTCTGATCCTCATTTTTCTCATTGTAGGTTTATGTTTGGAGCAAGCAGAACCCATACATCCATATGAGCTTCTTGGGCCTATTTACTTTCACAGCAGGTTATCTTCCTTGGGTTAGTGATTTCTCTTTCATCTGCCGGTTTTCAGATTCTGCTGTATTCAATTACTTTCCTTTTCAAATGTTTTAACAGATATATTTATAAATTGTGCCCATTAAATAAACTCTATTATACAACTGCTTATCATTGCTTCCCATTAGCCCTTGTTAGGCCACTATTTATAATCGGTCAAATCGCTTTTTATTCACGTATAATCGTCTGGACTTAGTAAATATGCACACGGCTCTCGCCTCCCCCCAACAAAAATAAAACCTGTACAAAATTCTGAAAAAAAAAATCTGAAAAGTAAATTTACTTGTTAAGTGTCACACTATTTCTTGGGTGTAGCTTCTCGTGTAGGTTTTTTTTTTCACATTCTGATGATAGCACGTGAACTAGATTTTATTCTTTTTCTGCAGGTTCTTTTGGGGTTCTCTGTCCTTGTTGGTGCTAGTCCTTGGGTTGACCTGTTGGTACGTCAATACATATGCTAATATGATTCTTGAGTAAAGATTTGATCATCTTGACTGTTTGAGTGGAGGCTTTATTCTTGTGTGAGATATATAAAGTCATTAATAGTGGGCTTTGCATGTTTTCAGCTGTACATAAAAGACCTCAGTTACCTTATTCATAAAATCCTTATTCCACTGTATGCATCATTTAGGTTTAGCTACTGTGCATCACTGCCTTCTCTTATCTGGGTTGGGCAACTGAGTACTTTTCAGTTATGTGGCAGTTCTTGTTCTCCTGTTCTTGAAGTGCCATCACACCGAGTGCTTGTTTGGGAAAGCTTAAAAGTTGATGTCAAAGTAAACAATTATTTTAACCACACATTTCATGGAACCCATAAGTTTTAACAACTTTGTAACCACACATTTAATCAATTTTTGTCAAAATCTGCTAAAACTTTTATCAAAAGCTTTTGTCAAATGACCCCTGATTTTTTCTCCTAAATTGTTGACTTTCAATTTTAATGAAGCAAATTCCTTTTATATGGTATATACATACTTCAAACTCATCGTGCAGATAAAACATTTATATGATAAAAATTGATTCCATTGTTCTTATAGGCATCTTTAAAAGGTTAGTTGAACATCCATACTGTGCAAGTGTGCATGCTTGTTACTGAGGTTGCTTCAAAGGATTTATCTTTGTGATTTGAGGCAACTCATCAAGTCCTAGCTCCATTAGCTCCTTAAGCCTTTGTAATTGTGTGTATGTGTGTCCCCTCATCTTTTTCCTCGCATGTTTCTATGAATTTAAGGTATTACTTTATAACTTACAAAGAAAATTTTGTAACTTTGGTTCAGGGAATGATAGCTGGCCATGCCTACTATTTTCTTGAAGATGTATACCCACGAATGACAGGTCGACGTCCCCTGAAAACGCCGTCTTTAATCAAATCATTGTTTGCAGAAGAACCTGTTGTAGCAGTTCGGCCCGCAGAGGTGCGATTTGCTCCTCCGCCAGTCGAAGATGTTCATCAGCATTGATCAGGTCTCTGGGCTAATGGACGATGGCCTATGTTTATATCTTCATCACGATTCGTTGGTAAGGCACATCAAGGAGTATTTATGACAATACTTCATCCGAGTTATTGTCATNCAATTGGTCAAATCATATGAAAGAAAAAGATTAATTACTAGTCTCTGAAAATTCAAATTAGCCGTATTTTTACTGAGTTTGACCAGTTAATAGAAAAAAAGAATATTCTTTTTCTTTTTTCTATTTTTTTTTCTTTTTATTTTAAAACGAAAATATTTTCTAGAAAAGAAATTCCTAATGAATGGGAAAGTACGGATTCATTTTGATCGTTAATCATCAAATGTATACCACTAATTGAATATGTATTGTGAAGAAGCTTCAAGTAACAAAATTAAAAATATAATAATGGTATTCAACTAAGCAAAAGAAGAGGTAGTCCACAATTTTTTGAACTTGTGTCTAAATTTCAACCCCAAAAGTTCAAATAATAAAGTAAGCAAGCCATGTTAGAGTCTGTCTGTATTTGAAATTGACATGCCCAATGTTATAAATCAATTTTAGATTTGGAAATGAAAATTGGACTTACTAGATGCCATGTTGATATGATGTTCCATTTTTTGAGAAAAAAGAAAAAGAAAAAGAAAAACGAAATTCTGTCCCTACATGCATTTGCAACGGTGTAATCCCCATCTACCATACATCAATTCATTCAAGTTTAGAAACTTTGACGAGGATTGGGGTATCAAGGGGATTGTGGAGATATTGGGAATAGAGAGAACAAGACTATCGGGAGAATTAGATGGTTAAGTCGGGATTGTAAAGGACTGTCGACGATAAATTTTTTTTAAAAAAAAGTATTACTAAAAAGAGAATCGTGAAATTTTGACAAACTGACACGTGGTTTAAATACGCTGACATGTGATTTTTTCTTTGAAATATGCATACACATCTCAAATAGAAAGCATGCGAAAATTTCATGCCCTTTTTAATTATAAAAATTGGAAGATCAAGTTTATAGTGCTACACAATTTACAAGGTTGAGGACATATTTGTTAAAATATGTTGAGGATCTATTTGAGCAATGCTGATAAATTGAGGGTATTAATGAAATTTAAGCATATCCTCTGTATTCTCTTCATCTATCTAAGCCCTAAATACCCAAATCCCAAACCCTAAAACCTCTCTGTTAACCAACAAAAACACCAGAATTTGGAAAACCCAGAGATAATTCAATGGCGTTTCGCAATAAATAGTCAGGTAAGCATGAGGTCGCGGTCCGGCTCTTCTCCAGCTCAATTCTGAATCCCGATTCCAAAACTCCACTCACCAGTAAAGAGAAATCGCGAGCCGCGCTTTCCCTCCTCCGGTTCGAGAAGAACCCGGAACGCATTCTTGAAATCTGTAGAGCCGCAGCCCTAACTCCTGAGTCACATTTGGACCGGATCGCCTACTCCAAAGCCATTACGAAGTTGAAAGAATCTCAATATTACGAGGGCATAAGAGAATTCATAAATGAGTCCATTACTCGATCTGATTTGAGATCTGAACGATTTATTTCGCATTTTGTTGTTTTGTATGGCCAGGCTGGTCTAGTGAAGGATGCTATTAAGTTGTTTGATGAAATGCCTGAGATGGGGATTGAGAGGACTGTGAAGACATTGAACTCGATTTTGTTTTCTTGCATTTTAGCGAAGGATTACGGGGAAATGAAGAGGGTTTTCTCCGAATTTCCGAGGAAATATGGGATTGAACCGGATTTGGACACGTATAATACGGTTTTGAAGGGGTTCTGTGAGTCTGGTAGTGCGAATTCAGCTCACTCTATATTGGCTGAGATGGAGAGGAAAAGGATAAAGCCAAATGGGACCACTTATGCAACTGTGATTGCAGGGTTTTATAAGGAGGAGAAGTATAGTGACGTTGGGAAAGTACTGGAGTTGATGAAAAAGAATGGCGTGGCACCTGGGATCAGTATTTATAATGTTAGGATTCATAGCTTGTGTAAGCTCAAGAGGTCGTATGAGGCAAAGGCGTTATTGGATGGGATTTTGTTGAGCGGTATGAAGCCAAATTCTGTGACATATAGTCATTTGATTTATGGGTTTAGCAGAGAAGGCAATTTGGAGGAGGCAAAGAGTTTGTTTAAGGTGATGGAAAGTCGAGGTTTGAAGCCAGACGCTGAATGTTATTTTACACTGGTTTATTACTTGTGTAAAGGAGGAGAAGTTGAGGCTGCCCTGGACATCTGTAAGGAATGTATGACAAAGGGTTGGGTCCCTAATATTACTACCATGAAGATGCTTGTAGATGGTCTGGTGAGCATTTCGAAGGTTGACGATGCAAGGGAAATTATTGGACAAGTGAAGGAGAAGTTCTCGAGGAATGCTGATACGTGGAGCGAAATTGAGGAGGGATTACCTAAGTAGATTTCTGAGCTTGGTAACACAATTTTTTTGTTGTCTGCTGCTATATTCATAATAAATATTTGAAAAACTAGAGGATCATTTGTGTATGCTAGTGGCCTACTTAGGAATTGTTGCTACCGACCTTAATGTTTTTCTAATGAATTTTATGATTTGGTTTAATTTCTCTGATACCCCCTTCTGGAATATTGCCTCATCACTGAACCCGGCTTTATTGTATACAACGTAGTTAATGTCAGACACGCCGTGCTTCAAATTTCTTGATTTTTTGCCTCCTTTTCCAAAGTTATTTGTTTTTGTTGCTTAGGATATAATTTGCTTGCAAAAATATGATATTTTCATACAAGGGACTGCTGCTCTGGATCTAGAATAAGTCACGAGGGAACGATTACAAGCTCGATTACAAGCTCAGTAGTGTAGGATTCAGGTTTCTACCTGCAGACGAGATCATTAGAGATTTCATTAGCACACGAGCATGATTTGACCATTAAGAATAGGCCATGTATAGGTACTCAAAATTGGATTGGCGATCGATTTCTGTAATGACCATAACAATTATTACTTGGACACGGAAGAAGAAACACGTAAACCTATCAATAAGTTCCTGCCCGAACCGTGTGACACCATAAGCACGATGAAAAGGGATATCTCTACTGACGTGCCTGTATTAAACAATTGGCGCGTTTAAATCGAAGTTGCATCAGCACATGCTAAGCCATTGATGAACAAAACTTTCTGGTAAAATTTGGCAAACATGAAATAGGCGATCGTCATTTTACATTAAATTCGGTTGAAAAACATCATTAGATAGGGTAGAAACTGCTGGTTTTAGGGAAAGGGAAAGGCCCAAAATTTCAAAATAAAGAAAGTACAGTGCCTTGTTTTCTAAACTAGGCACTGCCGCACTTGGCAGTCGGTACAAATTAATTCATTATTACATGTTGGCCAATTCTTATAAAAATTAAAATAAAGATTCAAATTTCAATCAATTGTGTCCGGGTGCCAACTTGTAGGATTTGACTGAAAATCCGAAAGGTCTGATGGTTGGACGCACCAATGCAAAGTTTTGAGTTAGGGTTTTGCTCACAGTGGTGGGCCCTACAAATTATCCATCCCATGTATGAGAAGTTGTCAACCGAACCATCCTACTCCCCCCTGTACATGTAGCACAGCTGAGTTAGTTAACTGAACAAGTTGGAGTTGCACTAAAGCTGGCACAACCCGAACAAGTTGTCGAAATAAAACATGTTGTAAATCACAAAGAACTCGACATGTGAAAAGCACGACCCAAGTTAGCTCGTACTAACAAAATTATAAAGCGTAGTAAACATCGAGTAATGTTAGGTTTCTGAAATCCGACGCAACTTGATTTATATGTAATTCCTTGCTGGTAAACATTCTCTATCTGTAAACTGAAAGTAGTTAACGAAATAATTTTATTTAGAGATCGTGCATTAAAAAGTACATTAAACTGTTGTTGAAATATATGGTTGAGAAGTTGTCGGTATTATAAAATGTGTGGTTAAAATTAACGGTTGACTTTAACTTAAATTCAGAATTAAAATTATTTATTAAAATTTCTTTTCTCAAATATAACTCCAGTAAGGACACATGTATAAAAGTGATTGGGCCAACTCTTAATTATTGATATGAAAATAATTTCTCGATTAAACCCCTCACGCAACCTCTGTCCACAACCTTCTCTCTCTCTCTCTGGCCCCTGCAACACTCTTCGAATTATTCAAAGTTGCGTCATTCATTCTCCGTAAGCAATCCTCGTCGGTATTCTCGCTCCTGTATATATATGTATGTTGTGTATATTTAGGATTTTGTTGATTTGATTTATTTTCTTGGTCGACCTTTTGAGGTGGGTTTTCTATTTTGTACGCGTTTATCCGTATATGTCGCTTTGGATTTGTATTGTATAAAATATATAGCTTGATTCAAATTAATAGAGCTAGGGCCTTTTCGCTGCGGGATTTCCTTATTACTGATTTTCCTAAGAAGAAAAAAATGCTTACTTCTGTTCAAGATCTTGGGTTATGGTAAAAGTCGTATGTATCTGTGCTTCTTGGGGTTTTCATATATTGTAGCTGATTTATATTAGGAATTTTTATATTGGGTTTTTGTTTTTGCTTGTAATTATACTGTTGCGATCTCTTATTATGAGTATTACGTGCTAATTATTGTTTTTTTTGAAGATTTTTGAAGCAGTTGTCGCAATTTTGCTTATATCAGAGTTATATTTATTTGGTTGTATTTCTTTTTATTGTTATTTCTGTGAAGAGAGACCTACATTTAGTTTTAATGTTTTGGATCTGATAAATTTCATGTTTTGATTGTTGTCCAGTAAGAAAGATTTGATTCTCTTTGCGCGTGACCCGTTCTCTTCTCCAATCCCATTTTTTTAAAACTTAGATTTATAAAAATGGAGGTTAAGCTATGGAATGACAAGCGCGAAAGGGAGATGTACGATAGTTTTGCTGACCTTTTTGCGATTATAAAGGCCACAGAGAAACTCGAGAGGGCTTATGTTCGTGACGTTATTTCACCTATAGAGTATGAAACTGAATGCCAGAAACTAATTACCCATTTCAAAACCCTGTCTTCCACAGTGAAAGATATTGTCCCGAGCATTGAGCGGTTTCATGACACTTATAAGATGGATTGCCCGGCTGCTCTAAACCGCCTTGTGACATCTGGGGTTCCGGCCACAGTTGAGCATCGGGTGGCTGCAGCCATGTCGTCTAACACCTCTGCCTCTATTGTGGCTGAATGTGTGCAAAATTTTATCACAGCTATGGACTCGTTAAAATTGAACATGGTTGCTGTTGATCAGGTCTATCCATTGTTGTCTGATTTGTCAGCTTCCCTCAATAAGCTTACCATATTGCCTCCCGATTTTGAAGGGAAGACGAAGATGAGGGAATGGATCACTAGGCTCTCGAAAATGGGTGCTGCTGATGAGCTGACTGAGCAGCAAGCTCGGCAGCTACACTTTGACTTGGAATCATCTTACAACTCTTTTATGGCGGCATTGCCTACTGCCGGGACTTAGTTCATGGTTATCGGGAGCTACACTTTGACTTGGAATCGTCTTAGAACTCTTTTATAGCAGTGTTGCCCGCTGCTGAGACAGTTCTTTGGTTCCCGGTAAGGTTGTAAATAAATGGGTATATTTGTTTCTGTTAACGAATTCCATATATTTCTGAATGTTGCATTTAATTGAACCCAATAGGATCTAGCAATTAGTTGGAAGGATATTTATTTCTCTTCTACTTCTCATATGCTTGAGAAGGCGGGATTTTTGCTAATGTGATCAATATCTCTGTTTCATCTGTAAAATGCTGTCTTCTGTTATGGAAATTAATTGTGTTGAAGAAACATTGGAAC